TCCGTCCGATTCTCAACCTCAAGGGGTTGAATCGCATGCTCAAGTACCATCCTTCAAGATGGAGACACTGCGCTCGGTGATCTCATCTGTTCAGCCCGGCGATTGGCTCACGTCAATCGACCTAAAGGATGCGTATCTGCATGTACCCATACATCCATCGTTCAAGCAGTACCTTCGGTTCTCTTACGACGGGATGTATTACCACTTCAGGGTGCTCCCCTTCGGCATATCGACTGCCCCAAGGGTGTTCACCAAGCTCATGTTAGTCCCAGCTACCCTAGCTCGCTCGCAAGGAAGGCGTTGTTACCCTTACCTAGACGACTGGTTGCTCGGAGCACTAACACAGCCAGCGAGTCAAGATGCTACTCACACAGTGATAGACATTGGTTTTTCTTGGAGCGACCCAGCGCGATTCCAAACGAACAAGGATCTCGTTTCCTTGTCGCCCGACCGGGTCACCAGAGTTCGGGAGATGGTATCTTCATTCCTCTCCCAGCCCCAGGCACCAGCACGGACTTGGCTCCGTCTACTGGGCCATATGGCGGCGACGATCTCTGTAGTGTGGCGGGCGCGGTTGAGGATGCGTCCCATACAGCAAGCTTTGGCTCGGCTGTGGACTCACACGGAGGATCTGGAGCGCAGTCTCAGTCCCCGAGTGGTTGACATCTCACCTTCAGTGGTGGACAAATTTCGGGAATCTCACCAGGGGGTTCCCCTTGGAAATCCCAACGCCAGCTCTCACAGTTCAGACCGATGCATCCCTCACGGGCTGGGGGGTGTTCTGGGCAGTCTGTCGGCTTCCGGACTCTGGTCCGAAGCCGGCTTCCCACCTTCACATCAACGTGTTGGGAACAGAGCTGTGCGGGTTGGTATTCGAAGGCTTCCAGAGAGCATGTCCGCGGGGCCAGGTAGTCCGCCTTCAGTTAGACAACCAGACGGCCATGTCGTACATCCTGAAGCAGGGAGGCACGGTGTCCCCAGCGCCCCTCCGGGAAGCGCGGGACTTTCTCCTCTGGTGCGACCAGTACGATTGTCAGGTACTCCCTGTTTATCTCCTCGGGCTGGAGAACGTGCGAGCAGATGCGCTCTCTCGCAGGATCCTGGCCCCGCGACGAGTGGATGCTCGACAGGCAGATATTCACAGTAATCTCCCAGTTGTACCGGGTCGTTCGAGGTGGATCTGTTTGCATCCGGGCGGACGATCAGACACCTGTGTTCTGCTCGGATACCGGACCCAGGGGCGTTGGCTGCCGACGCCTTCCTGCTGGATTGGACGGGCAAAGTGCTCTCGGGCGTTCCTGCCGTTACCACTCATTCCCCGTGTCCTTTCACAGCTGTCCACCCAGCCAGCTCGGCTACTTGTGCTACTGGCACCGCTTTGGCCGTCACAGAGCTGGTTTCCGGTAATTCTCAGGTTTCTGGCTCAGCCTCCTGTTCTATTACCTTTGCGACCGGACATTCTCACTCAGAACGGGAGCGCCCACCCAAATCCACGGATTCAGTGGGTGGCTTGGCCTCTGTCAGGTCTAACCTCGAGGCACGCGAATTCCTGCAGCAGTTGCAGACACAATTCTGGCTTCGAGGCTGGATTCGACAAACGTTCAGTACGAGGATAGGTGGTCCCGCTTATGCGCGCTGGTGTTCAGATAAGGGATTGCAGATCCCTTTCTGCGGATTTAGTCCGAGTATTGGAGTTTTTGCAAGCTCGCTTTGGAAGAAGGCCTGGCGGCTTCGACCATTCGCGGCTACTCCACCGCTATTTCCACTTTTCACACCCCTGTCGATGGTGCTCTTCTGGGGCAGCACCCTCTCGTACAGCGCTTTCTCGCTGGCGCGGAACGGATTCGACCTGCTCTCAGGCGAACCAGTCCACCTTGGGATTTGTCGATCGTGCTCGATTGGCTGTCCGGTCCCACTTTCTCACACCTATCGGCTATTTCCATTCAGTTGTTGACCTGGAAAGCTGTTTTTCTGGTGGCGGTAACATCTGGTCGTAGGGTCGGCGATTTACATGCTATGTCGTCCGACCCGGCGCTGACTGTTTCACACGGATCGTGTCAGTATTCGCCTCCCAGATACTTACCGACCGAAGGTCGATCACGCTTTCCCTGAGGGGTTGAAGGCTCACTCGGTCAGGGCAGTAGCCGCCTCAAAAGCTTTTGCATCGGCACTCCCCATTGAAGAGATCTGCTCCGCCGCTATTTGGAGCCGGCCAAGCACGTTTACACGGCATTATCAGCTCGATACGCATTCCCGTAATCGTGCGAGCTTTGGCCGTACTGTTCTCTCCAGTGGACAGTGTCCTGCCACCCTGACCGAGTGAGTCTTGGTTTATTGGTTTTGACGCTACTGTACAATAATTCCATTATTGACATGTCTGCTACTGTGAGCTCACTCAGAGAACCTGTACCCCCTTTCGATTCTCTACGGAGTTACTATATCGTTAGTGAGTGGTATTTTGCATTCCCCCTACGGTGCTCTCATGTAGCCACTTAGTGGGTGGGGATTCATTGACATTCGCACTACGTGCAATGTCTCATTATGCTAGTGAGGTCGTCTTTGAGCACAATTCCTCCCTGTCAGTTCCCCTCCCATAATGCCTCTCGCGGAAGCGAAACTGGGACAAGTGACAGGTGAGTGTTATGGCGTCTGTTCAATTTTTTTCCATGATACGATCGCTATATTTGTGTGTGCTTGGACAGAATTCCCTCCTCCCTGGCCTCCGGTCTTTGGGAGTCTGTGTTTATGCATAATATGTACCCCAAGGACGATCTCTCTGAAAAAGAATTAACCAAACCTGCAGAGGTTTTCAATTCTTTGAAGAGAGTCGTCCTTGGGGTAGGGCCTCCCGCCTCCCCGCAATTCTGTTCACTGATAAGAATTCAGCAGAAGGAATGATGATACGGGTCTAGGAGCCTACCCAGTTGGTGCGCATGCGCTAAGGGAGGTAACTCCGTGAGGTAGGGTCCGTATAATAAATAAAAGAGTTTATTTATTGTTCAATCTTTTTATTCAAAAAACATTGATACAACTGTCACAGGACATTTTTCAGCCGGAAAATGCATATGTACCCCAAGGACGACTCTCTTCAAAGAATTGAAAACCTCTGCAGGTTTGGTTAAGTTTCCATAACGTTCTTAACTTGTAAGAAAAAACTTAGACAAGTAATTTTGTTCTTAGTTTTCTTAACTTTAAGAAACCTCATAAGGACACTTAACTAGTTAAGAAAATTCTTAGTTATCCAATATGGCGGCTCACGGAAACGCAAACTTTCACACTAGGAAGAACGTTTTTGATATGTACACCGACAGAGTTATTACGACGTTATCGTCTTGACAGAGTTTGTGACAGGCTTGATATCGGATGAAATCGATGCACTTACCTTTAGAAACCGGTCCTTACCAGCCCTATACAAAGTACTTGTAACATTGAGGTTTTTGGCTACAGGCAAAATGCAGCTTTGCAATGCAGATGACATGGATATTTCACAACCAACAGTAAGTCGGGCTGTAGCGCAGACGTAAGCTGCTCTAAATGCACCTCATATTGTGCAGAGATTCGTCTAGTTTCCATTGTGTCGAGGGTAATTAACCGATAACGCTAATGAGTTCGTTCACGTTGCAAACTTCCCAAATGTGGCCGGTGTCATTGATGGGACCCATGTTCAAATAATCGCACCACACGTGAACGAACCTGTGTTTGTGAACCGAAAACACTACCACTCAATCAACACCCAACTAGTTTTTGATGCGCATTACCGGATTACCGACGTCGCCAAGTGGCCAGGATCAACACATGATGCACGGATCCTTCGAGAAAGTGGCCTCCAAATTCTCTTTGAAACAAGGAGGGTACCAGGCAACTTTCATTTATTAGGAGACAGTGGGAATCCCTCAAAAACTTGGCTTCTGACACCATATCTCCGGCCGAACAACTCTAACCAACTTGCGTATAACCGGTAAGTTAATTCAATTAGACTTACTTCCCTTATTTTAGGAATGTCAAAAGTTGAAATGGGTTATTGCAAAATTATGATCTCTAAATGAAATGTGAACTTCTTCAAATAAAATGAATACAATCCAGTGTTTAATTTGAGTGTAATTGATTTATTACTGAGGCAGTATATTATCAAAGCTTTATTAGACATTTCACGCCAATAGAATTCCATTATAATTTGAAGATATGTTTTTTCCACTTTTATATGTCTGTATCTTCAACTTTGAATTGTCAACATTATTTATGAGACACCCTTACCAATTATTTGGAACATTTACTCAAATACATTGTTATCCCATGAATAATACCTGAACGTGATAAAATACAATAGAATGCATTTATTGGTGTTCACAAGGATACTTATAGATGTTTCTTTACTAGACAATATAAACTGGAGGCCATACAAAAAGTCCTGCTTTATATCACTGTTTAAAGATAATATTGGTCAGGCAAACTAAGTTTAATTTGTATTGAATATTATATTTGTTGCGTCATCTTGAATGAGAATTTTTACCTTTTCCTCAAAGAAAAATAAACAAGGTCTGAAGTGGAAAAATCAATGGCCATTTTAGGAATGACAGGTTTCTCTAGTGTAGCAAAAATGTGATCAAGGAACAGTAAAAATGTGACACAACAACATATTTACACGTTGCCATATTATCAATTCATGATGTCACATTGATATGTAAGTGCTTTGCAGGTATATTGAATTGTCATATTGTGTGAAATGCATGCTAAATTATTGATGTTTTTCTGGTCCTATTGCAATTTGATTTGACTTAGACGTTATCAATTTTGTAAAGTAACACAACAGTACTGGATTACAAAAAAGATTGAATGAAAACATTGGGATGAATATTTTTTTCTAATCTGAAAAATTCTTCACATCTCAAAAAATGCCTAAGTCCAAAAATAAAAAAAAATCAAATAAAAGTAAAAAACTGGCATAATCACTTGAAAGTTGGCACTGTACCTCTATCATTAGTGCGGAAGGCTCGGGCAAATATGAAAAGAATTAGATGAAGAGTTTTTCCACAATCAGTCAGACAAATTTATAACTCTGAAATGACAAAATACCCCCAAATTCACATAAAATTACAAAATCGGTGAAATTACATGAAAATCATTACTGCCCCATGAGCATTAGTGCGAAAGTCATGTGCAAAATTTACTCCTCCCCAGTATTTTTCAGTTCTTTCACTAAGACTGCTTTCCTTAGTTTGAGAACTTCAATTTCCAGTTTTAATTTTTGAATCGTTAATGCTGCTTGTTCCTTTGCAGAGGCCTGGCAAGTATGACAGCTTGAGGATGGAGCAGTTGGAGTTGAGACTGGTGGACACACTCTGACTAGGGGCTCGCTCACTGTTGTTGGCATGACTGGGACCTGCACCCCGGAGAAATCCAGCCTCCTCAGATCCACCTCACTGAAAGTGTCTAATCTGTTAAAAAAAAAACAGAAATTGTTAGTCATGTCGTAAATAAATGTCCTACTATGCCATTGGCTCGAGTAACCATAATAACTGTTTACTTGCCTTAGAAAATAATAGGACCAACTGTCTGATCAGCTACAAATGGAGTGCTTTCTTTGGATGTGTCACTAATGCTGATGTGGCTGTTGCAAATCTACCAGTATTCATAAAAATAACACTCAAATATTTTTATTGGTTTACAGTTTCAAGCATTGTACCCTTTAATGAAAAAATATATTGCATGCATCTTAATCCAAAAACCATAATTTCTAAACTGTTTTGAACGTCATTTACATTACCAGCAAATATTACTGTGTCATTAGCATACATTATGATAATTACAGTTTTACATATGGCAATGGCTTCATTAGCTAATTCAAAACCCTTACATCCATGGAAAGATAATCTTTTCAGTCATTTACATACAAGGAAAATAAAATTGGGTAGTAAAAGTGTCGTTTCATGTTTTTAATGGTTTTAATGACTTCATCTTAACTTATGTCCTGATTCAATACAGAGTTATCTCCCATGCCAAAGTCATTTAGCTAACTGTCTCAATATTATCACATTGATTTCTCTGAAATGCTCAAATATATAAGTGTTGCCATGTTGCTATCTGTCTTGTTAATCCTATCAGATTTATTCAAAATCTTCCAATAGTCCAAAAGGGACTTTGATTTCATGATTCTTAATTTGTTAACAAAGCCATGTCACTCTCTCAGTTTGGGGGTATTGCATATATGATAATACGATAAACAAATGTCAAATGCCATGTGTATCTCATTTCTCCAAATATGAGCTGCATCACTTGTGGAAATATCAAAGTCCCATATTTATATTAATTTGTGTATATTTGTATGTTTTCCCTACGAAACTACCTGTTTGCAAGGAGTAACATAACATTATTGTACTAACTCAGTGAAATATCATATGATGACGAGAAAATAAATACCTGTTGGCTTCAAAGCTGGGTGACATCTCCAGTACTTGCAGCATGCTGGAGTCAGTGCTGTTTGGTACCCCCGAAATGACCATATTGTCATCGCCCAGGATGTCCCTAACCACTTCCGTCACTGTTGACAGGGGGGTGCAGGATGGACCACCTCCTTTTTTAAACATATCAAATTGATAATCACCATGAACACATTCAAGAATTTTTAGGATTTTCGCAGGAAAAGTCTTGTGTTTTTACTTCAAATGCCTATTAAAAAAATATATATATACTAATTCAGATTAAAGAACCAGATAATATTTTATTTTTGTAAAATGCTTATTGAGTTTTGTTTATGACAATGTTTTATTAAAGGAAAACTATTAAATGTATAAATATGAAAGCGGATTTGAATAAAGATAATTCATTAAAATGTTTATTTGATTTGCCAAAATAGTATTACATTACACATATTTAAGTAAATTTAGAAATTATCATTCAACCACAAAGTTTCATAAATATACATAACATATATTAAGTGATTGAGTGGTTTAGTATGAATAATAGATGTATTACTGTTTTCTTTTCCACTTCCATGTTTTACATTTCACTTTTGTTATTTCATGATTACCTGTGGTGCTTGTTGACCTTTTATAGGCTGATATGTCACACTTGGCTTTAGATTGGATATTGTGCCACTTCTTCTCCACCTCTTCCACAGATCTAGTTACATCTAGAAAAAATATGAAACTTATCAATATATGCTCTATTTATTACAATAAATATCCACTCTTACACTTTTATTTGTACTTATTGTATTATTTTGTCATAAACCTGGATACACACAAACCTGGATACACACAATTCATGGATCAATAATGTAATTACATTACTATAAAATAATCATCTAATGTTTTGAGTGAAAACCGATGGATTTATAACTCATCATAATTCAACATTTCCAAATGAATGAAGACACAATAATTACAATGATAGAAACTACAATTGGCCAGAAAAAGTGTGCTTTAATATATTGAAAAGATGGAAACATCAATGCAGCAAAAATCAATTAAATGAGACATGAACATTTTATAATTTTATAATTATTTGAAATTAGTGTATGGAAATGTACAGCAACAGTGTGGATATATGAGCGTCGTCGATAGGGGAAAATTCATTTGAAAACTCATGTCAAATTGATGTCTTTCAACCATATATTTGATTTTTATAAACATAATGATGGAATATTCTCGAAAGTAATTGGCTAAAGAAATGCATTAATTATCAATATTTCTAACCTGCTTCAATAAATCAATCAATACATTCTGTTAAAGATCACTTATTTAGTTGCTGAAACATTTTTTTATATAAAATAAACGTCACTCACTTTGGAAGGTGGAATTGATTTCAGCGCATATGTCTGTCCATTTTTCCTTTTTCTTTTGAGCTGTCACACCCGCGCCAAATTTGCCTAGTAAGAGGCTCTTGTTTTACTCCATAAGGCGGGTTAGACGCAAATTCTGCTCCTCCGTCCATTTAGGTTTTCTTGACTTTTTTGTTGGAGGTTCCATTTTGCTGTCGTCTGCCTTAAAACGTTTTCATATCTTTTCGGCTGAAGAGTTCGTTTCCGTTACTAAAATTAGACTTCCGTAATTAAAACTGACCACAATTTTAAGTATTTAGTGTTGTCATTTTTATCACCATGACTTATGCTTATTGTGTGTACAGATATTTTTCCAGTAGGTGACATTTGGTGCGGAACTGGGGTTGATGAGTTCCGCTTCCTGTGCTCGCAAAACGAGCAGGACAAGTTGGCCTGTTTTGTTTTATGGTAGTGTAAAGGCCAGAGTGTACCCATGTGCACATGGAATGGTTGTTGATAGCCTGGATATTTTTTTTTTTTAATAAGGTTACTATAGAGGTCAATGGGAAAACATTTGGTGGTGTGTAACCTCAATGGCCCTGGGAATGTGGTGGGAAATAACAGGTGCTGAAAGAGAAATATGTATTAAAATTCTGTTCCTGAGAACAATTTTATATATTTATAAACAGAGTGTTTATAATAGAAAAGAGTTGGTAAATGAAGATATTGCAACACATATTTACTCTTTGTTCTTGTACAGGAATTTTGGAGAAAAGTTGAAAACTTTATTAATCCTACAAATTGTGATGTTCCCATTTCTGATCAAGACATTCTCTTTTGCAACAGTTCAGCTAGTTTACTAGCAACACAGTAGTATAAGTATAAAACAGAATGAAATATCCAGTGATTGTTTTGCTAATATCGTCAAGGATGTGTACAAAGTAGAAAGAATTATTGCTTGTAAGAACAATGTTTTGCCTAAATTTCATTCCAAATGAAAACCTATGAACAATGTATCATGGATATATATAATTATACACCTGACATGTCCATCATTTTATGAGCGCTTCATTGTATATGCTCTGAAAAACTGATAAATGAAATCAAACTGTACACCTGCTGAACTAAAATGAATAAAAAAATTGAAAAAAGAACCCGAAACTGTGCAAAATTGTGCATGGATGTAAATAGGGTTGCTTAATAACCAGTTTCTCAAGAACAATTTAGTTTGTAGCATAGATTAACTGGGGTTTATTTGCTGTATTTTGTATGTTCTGGTTCAGATACCTCTTGCTTCCAACTTCATGAATGTATATATCTTCCATTTCAGTTCTATACTACATATACTTTTTGAAGTGTAAATGTCATTCATAAGAATAATTTTTGCATTAATAAAAACAAATTCACAACATGATTTTCATTCTAAATTTGGTTAATGGAGTAGTTTTGTGTAAACTTTACACAGTCGTTTTTGTAACAAGGTATGAACTAACGGTACTCTACTCTTTCAACAGTTGACACCTCCCCAAGTCATCCTGACGAATAGATGACGATGAAAGCAATCTGACAAGGTATTACATTAATCAAATTAATTGGATTTTAACAAAACCTTGTCTCCTGCTGTATGACAATGAGGACTGAACTAATGGTTCATTGACTATTTTTTTTCAAAGCGGCACAGATTTTCAGGTGTCTATCTATATTTTTTCCAAAAGATGTCATCTGATGACCAAACATGAAAACAAATATGGAATATTCCATGTAATGTAATTATAAGTTCTGACATCCATGCAGACATCTTCCTCAATTGACCTACGCCGTGATATAACTGACCTACTGTTGCTTATAGGGCTGGGACGATTCACCTATAGCGATACAATTAAGTTTGTTACAGCTATCGTCTCGTCAACTGGTGTATCGATTAAAAAATGATACACAAGTTTTTTTCAAAACAGTTTTATCTTAAACATGTTAAAGTACTTAGGCCAAAAAAAATATATGTCCGTTTCCTATAACATCCTTCTTAAAAATAGGTAGGTGGGTCGGTTTTCTTTTCTTTTTACTTTTTATTTTTTTAGCAGCACCAGGTGGGCACCTGAGGTCTTCAAGAGTACCATATCATGTAGTGACAATGCCTTATGATGAAACATTGAAAGATTTCTATATCAAATCATTATTCATGTTATTTATTTGTCAGTGAGAGCCCATTGTGCCAGTTCAATGCAATCCATTTTAGCCCTACGTACACTGAAAAACATGAAAATATCATACTCGATTTGGATGAGTTGAAATGCACTCCAGTCATAATTTTGACTTGGTTAAAAAAAAATTTAGGGTCGGGTGGGTTACCGGAAACAGACATTATTTTTATATTTTCTTTTTTGGGGGGGGCCTTATTTACAGCAAAATAGGCAAATATGATAGAGTTTCTTGCTTGTTTATTACAATGGTGTTATTGTTATACACAAATAAATCTTAATACTGTGCCATTCTTTCAAGGTGTATGTATCGTGATACGTATCGTATCGCGGGTAAAATATCGCAATACGTAAAGAATCGTGACATAAATTGTGAAATACACAATGCCATTAAATACACAATGCCATTTAGGAAGTGGTCAAATGTAACATGTGTGATATTTGGGATTACACTTGAGCGGTCTGGGCGTCTGACTTTGTGTGCTGGCGATTAGGTGCCTGACTCTGAGGGTGGGACTCAACCCAACAAAAGTACTAGAATCTGTACTTTACAAAGAAAGTATAATTCCAAATGTAATGTATATAACATATGTTACATCGTGACATAGTGTATCGTCCCAGCCCTAGCTGCTTAAGACAACATATACTAACTCACTCTGAAAAACAAAATATTTTTTTAAACAATTTATTCAGAAATTCAACTGTCAATGTCATTATTGTTGGTTCTAAATTCCCAATTTAAATTTGACTTTTTATTTTGTGTGAGATATACCCTGTAGGCTCCCACTGTAGTGAAGATGTAAAAGAATAAAAATTTTTACTATGGTCCATCAATTTTACAAGCTGGTAAGTCCATCCTGATATTATTTTCCCTCCAGATGACCCAGATATTCAGATCTCATTACATGGACCGCTGACTGGACACCAGCAGAAATACTTTGTATGTCTTTAAACATATATATGAAAATATATAACTACATGGCCATTCTGCACAGTTATGGAATCCAAGTTGTCTTTCCACCCTCATTTCTCTGACATACCATGCTACACAAGACCTGCTGTGGCAAAGACAATACTCATTTCTGAGATTATGTCTGAAGACATTGAGGAGTTCCTTGTTTCATGGTTGTTCTTCTATACTCCAGGTGTGCTGCTGTCTCCAGTAATGACAGTCTGAAACAGAAGACAGATTCACTTGCAAAAGGCTGAAAACCGATATTGTTCTGTTATTAGCAACAATCATGTGTTGCCTCTTTAAAACCCCATTGATGTACAGAGATAAATGTGATGAAAAATGTATATTTGGTAGAAGGGACTCTTGTCTGAGATTTGCTGAGAATGTGTGAAAAGACCACTGAGGTCGATTCTATTCTGGGGTTATTAGCGCTGTTAATTAGATATGTTTTACCTATTTATTGTGGTTATGGTGGCTATCACATGAAACTACAAATATTCATAAACGTAGTGAAGTTCGTAACCTTGCAGAGATATCCGCCGAACAAAATGCTTCACTCCTGCCTATAAAACATTCAGTAACGGAAACTGTTTTCACGATTAAAATATAAATAGAAATACTTTTGCATTAAAAATTCGGGTACATGTTTCTGATGACTTTATCTTTCACCCAGCCAGTTATTGAAATTTTCTATTATCCTATAAATATTTCCCCAACCCATTACCCGATGTCCGAGTCCAGTGTTTTTTTCTGTCGGGCAAGCAAATTCGTTTATCACACTGTACCAGCGTCCATTTGACTTTCCAATGTTAATTATGTTGTTTATTTAAAAAATTCAACAAGAATACAGCCGGTATAGTGAAAAATATTATCAGGGCAAGTGATTTCACATGTGCCACTGTACCGGAGAACACTAGCAATTTTAAAGTTATTTCCGACCCTGCAACATCTAAATCATTGCAACGCATGTATTTGTGCAATTTTTCTATATTTGATCAACCAGTTTCAATAGAAAGGGTGATTACTCTAATTCAGTAAATTTACCTATCTACTAAAACTGACACTAAATGGGATTATTCATTATCGGTTACATTAACAATGATTAAGAATGTGATAGCTTGTGGTTTCTGTGCAAGGTGATGTTTACAGTATTGAGGCAGCATATTCATTGAAAGTACAGAACAGACAGGAGTAGTGATTCCAACAACGGTGCCCATCAGTTTAGTTTTACGCCACTTTTAGCAATATTCCAGTAATATCACGGCAGGGAAACACCAGAAATGGCCTTTACTCACTGTACCCATGTGGGGAATCAAACCCAGGTCTTCAACATGATGAGCGAATGCTTAACCACTGGGCTACCCCACTGCCCTCTCCAAACAAAAAGGTTAGCACAAAGGTATGTAATAATAAATGCCAACATGTTCCAAAATTGAAAATATCGAAATAGAAACTTTGTTTTAATTCAAATCAGTGGGGGTTTATTTCTCCTATCATCCAGTGACACCAGACATCCAATCATTTTTCTAAAAGGCAACCATTGTCTATTCATATCAAATTAAGTCATTAAATGTTTTTGCCATTGTTTTATTCAGAGGCCATGGCACAAGGACAGACCTTTGAAACAGATGAAGATCTACTGTGATTATTTCTTCCGCCTCTTCATTTGAGATCTGAAAATATACAGCTCCCTTGCCACTCAGCCGAAGTTCTGATTTGTAATTTGGAAAATACTGGTAAATAAAGGTCACCTTAACCATTATTATCGATTGTCAGTTGTTGCTGTCACAATCAAATTTTAACTGATCATGAAAATGGATTGTGGGACATCAGATGCAGACTATTTTGCTGTTCTCACTCTTGCTCTCAGTGTTATATTTCTGGGGTAAGGCCAAGAAAAATGCAAATGTTTCACATTATTGTGCTGGGCTTTATGCAAGGCTGGTTGTCTGATTGTTATTAATTTGAAAATCCATTATTTTTTAATATTGTTTTTGATATGGTCTTGAAAATTGTTTTGAAATATATGCAAAATATTTCAATTAATTGTATTTCAGAAACATATTTGAGCCTACATCACTCTATATCCAGATGTTTCCAGCAAAGACAGAGAATGCATTTAATAGAGTTTTGTATTGCTTGCTATGTGATAGCATTGCTGCATTTGTACTTGTGAAGATTTCAGGCTGGGGTGGTGGGGTAACCTACTGGTTAAAGCGTTCGCTTGTCATGCTGAACACATGACAATTCCCACATGGGCACATTTTGAGAAGCACATTTCAGGTGATGTTGCTGGAATATTGCTAAAAGTGGCATGAAACCTAAATCACTCACTCACTCAGCCTACGTTGTATTTATTGAGAAACAAAACAGATGTTAGTCCAACTTTGGGCCAGCTTTTGTTTGCCGACGGTAAAAAAAGGCGTCAGGACGATGCTGGATGCCAACTTTGATCGCATTTGACGTCAGAATGCTATCTGGGATAAGTGACTTAAAATAAAACAAGCAAAACATGTATATGTAGAGTCAGTACTCCGAATACCGTACACGTTTGGCCACCGGTGTCCCCTGAATCGCTTCCTACACAAATACTACGTCATGGCGCATGCTGTTTAAAAGGTTGTCCAATCATCTTGCCTGCCCAGTAAACCGGTTGTGCATTCCGTTTTAACCATGCGTTTAGTCAAAGGAAGCTACCCTTGGTCATTTAAATTCGTACAAAGTGACTTTAATACCGTAGGCTATTTCTTCCAATATCGTACACGTATTGTAATTCCGTACACTATCTAAAAGACACTTCCGCTGCTGTTAGATCTTTAGACAATTTCAATTTACTGGCTAATTATAAATTCGGAATAATGAACGGAGGTTACACAGGTTCAAAAACTATATTCATATACACTCCTTTATACCAAATTATTAGCATTTTTTTATTTTTGTGTTTCTCATCGCCCGACCGACCCTTCTAATTTTATTGCCGCCCCCAAAAAAACAACAACAACAAAATAAAAAAATGAACAAAACCACAAAACAAACAACAAAAACAAAAATCGCCCTAATATAAAATGAAATAAACTAATAATAAAAGATAAATTTCTTCTTTTCATTCCGACACCGCTGCTCGAACAAAAATTGTACCGCCTTGTCATATAAAATGTTTATCTATCCAAAACGTTTCAATCAGTCGCTGCCACAATTTCAAAGAGTGAGTGAGTGAGTTTAGTTTTACGCCGCACTTAGCAATATTCCAGCTATATGGCGGAAAATCACAAGTGTATTTCTAAGAACGCAAGAAATTGTAATACATCAGAATTACAATAAATGTCGTCCTTCCTGACATATTCTGAGGGAAAATTTGAATTGCAGTGACGTAGTAACAGAGCATCACCGTCATCAACGGTTTGAGGTAGAATCAGCGTCATTTGAATGTAATAGTGTGAACTGTCAACACGTCGGATAACTGAAGCATGGGAATAGAAATTTCACCGGCATCACTTCTCGGACGGTCTTATATCACTAAAATCAAGACATCCTGAAATGCATCGCAGAAGGTAAGAGTTTAAACATATCCGTTATAATACAAGATGGACAATTAGAGTTTTGGTAGTGGCGTTAATATGAAGACAGTTAAAATGGAGGAAACAGCGAAACCAATTTAGAATCATACTTAATCAAACTTGGCACCACGATGTGATAAACATATAAATGAGGCCACCTATCAGGAACTTCTTTTATCTCCACTTATCAATATGCTGTGTGTTTATCAACTTGTTGAATAAGGGTCATAATCAGCTTATGTAAGAGTGTGACGATGTCACGTGTTTTTTCTGTTGGCAACAATGAATGCAAATAATTTGGCACACAATAACTGAATGTTGCATAAAAAATTGTATTCATACGCAAGTAAAAGAATGTCCAAAACGATAGATAAATCCAGAATGGCATTACATGATAAATAGTTTATTACCCACTTAGCCTAGGTTTTCGAAACGTACAAGTTATGGGTAATAAGCACGCCAGTGTCGCATGGTTTTTGCGAAACGGAAACACACTCGGCAAACAAACTGTAGATTATTTCGTAAACCAAACACAGAACACTCCCTTCCACTGTAGGGTAGGTAAGCGACCGTTCATAATTTATGTCTGTGGGGTGGGGTGTTTGATGATTTTTATGGAGAAGCCTGTACAATTTGAATCCCCACCCCCCACTTAATTATTTTGTAAATGTACGTGAACCTCCTATGTTCAAAATCAATGCCTCCACCCATCCCATCCTATAATTCTAAGCATAATTTTGTAATATTTTATGTACAAAATTGCTGACCACACACACACACAGAGTCATAAATTATGAACGGTCCCAAACAACAAATCTGGTTTAGGTATTTACATTAGATTTGGAAGCTGACTTCCCACCCTTCTGCCGATATTGCCTGGCTTCCAGACGCGCTTGTTTTTCTCTTTCTAGTTTCTCTTTCTCATCTCTCTTTTCTACCTTCATCTTAATGATCTCATCGCTCGTGAATATGCGGTGGGAAGTCAGCTTCCGTGGATTTGATTTCAAACTTTGTTTTGTTACAGGAGCTGGAAGGGAAAACTCGGACTTGATAGCGTCCATTGCAGCAGCCTCGGAGACTGTAGCCATTTCAACAACTAAGTTGCCGGATTCATCAAAAGAACAGGGAGTGTCACCTGTCAAAACAGACAAGATGAAGTCAGTGTCAGACAGGAGAGATGCGCCCTCTGGTAACACTGCTTCAGTTGTAGATGGAACCACTGATGTCCCAGCTATTGGCGTAGCAGACACTCCGGCATCAGGTGTGACAGTATCAGAAGTCACCGGATTGTCAGCTTCAACAACAACAGGAACATCAGCAACTCCCCCTTCTCTAGATGAATCCAAGCTGATATCAAATGGTTTGCTAGGGACAAAAGCCTTATCTGGAATTGAATTCCTGTTTACAGGGAATATCCCACATTTACGGAATCCACTGCAAACATTTGAGGGCGTGAAAGCCACACTGTACGCTTGTTTGAACAAATGGGGCCATTCCCATTTGGTCACCAGGTTATTTGGACTTTGCACCATGAATTCACTGCATACCCTGTTCCACTCCCAGCTTAGTGGGCCAAATACTGATTTGTCCAGAGGACAAAGCCACTGTGTTGTGTGGGGAGGAAAAGCTAGGATGGTTACATCATTTGCCTTTGCCTTCTCCAGAAGCCCAAGTGTTTCGTGCGAACTGTGGCTGTCCAGGACGATAAGTTGAGGCCTCTCAGGTCCACAGTGTTTCAGGAAGTGGGCCTCAAACCATCCTTCACCCAGAGCGTCCTCCATCCATGCACGACTCTGGTATGTGTAGGCCGTGCCAGGCACTCCAGCCGGAGTATTGTAAGCCTGAAGGCATTTTGGGGTCTTCCCTTGACTATCGCCATAGGGGAAATGTTGCCACCTGCAGCATTTATGCACGCCAATACTGTTACATTATCACGTGTGTTCCCCACACGCCCGGGAACGTTCTTAACCCCGACCTCAGCCATGACTTTGGTTTGTTTATGTGTAAGCGGAACACTTGTTTCGTCGATGTTCCAAATTACTTGTGGTTTATCGTGTAACCCTAGACTGTAGACAAGTTTTTCAAGTTCATCAAAATAGTTTTTGGTAACTGATGGATTGAGCATTCTTGCTCTGACTGTGATCTTAAAAATGTATGTCGGGGTGGCGCTTCAAGAATCCAGCGATCCACCCTTTACCGGGCACGCCATTCTTGAAGGGGTCTTCAGCTTAAGTGTCCCACATATGCGTGCAACCTTTAGGATAAGCTGGCGACGGGTTATGCCGAACCCTGTCAGCGCTGCAGCCTTTATTTTGTCGGCTATCTCTTCTTCAACTGCCGCCGTCAGCACTGATGGGCGGCCAAGACTCCCTCCCTCAGATATTCCCCGGACATGATCACTAATGGTCATGACGTTTGAAATGTTTAGATGCAGTTCGGAAAGACAGACCCTGCCCTGTAACAAGCGCGGGTAACTGCACTCCCAAGGGCCTGCTTTGTGTATTGGTCTTCTGCCCATCTAAAAATTAAACACAGACTGAATTTATCTACTTTAATACTGCCCAATTTGACATTAATACAGAACGAACAAGTTCGAGAATTGTATCTTGTTGAAATCTATTTTGGTCACAATCGTGAAGCACACGTCTTGCTAGAAATGTTGCAGACATGTGGTCTCTTAGTGTCTGTTGATATGACATTACACGACAAACAACTTCTGCCACTGCAAATCTACATCTAGAATGGTCTAAAGATTTCCTTAGCAAGTCAAGTATTACTTCAGCTTCGTATTCAACAAACACGTCATCCCGCATTAAGGTGTTTAAAGCTGCACGGGCGACTGCAATCACTAGTACATGTCCGCTTCCACATAATTTGCGGCGCTGAATGGATTTTGAAAGCGCCATTTTCTGTAAAGTTGACAGTATTATTATTGATAATTTGTTTTAATTGATTAATTATATTAAAATATTGTGACTTATACGTTTTTACTAGACAAAATTGTATTAGCTTCCATGTAAATAAAGAGTTGTGCCTAACTGACAAATTGTTGTACTGTGTTGCTGATAACTTTGGAATATTTAGTTTTTCTTGGCTTCATACATTGTACCCATGTGGGGAATCGAACCCGGGTGGTGTTCGTGCCGAGCGAACGTTTTAACTATTAGTCTGCCCCACCGTCCCCGTAAAGGATTCATGAACGGTAAAAAAACCTCACGGTAGCACGGGCTAATATCACTGATAAATACTTTTCTGACAATTTGACTACTTCAAAATGGACTTCAACAATGGCCATATACACTATTTTTCTATTATATGTCTATATATAATTTTACATTTATGTATTTGTTGTTACAACGTTCGTGGATTTTTATAAAATATGTACAGTTACTCTGTATGCATTCTTTGTGTTGTCATTTCACATTAAGGCTGTGCTAGAGTAGTGAGTGAGTATGGTTTGACGCTGCTTTTTGCCATATTCCGGCAATATCGAGGCGGGGGACACCAGAAATGGGCTTCACACCTTGTACCCATGTGGGGAATCGAACCCGGGTGTTGTGCGTGCCGAGCGAACGTTTTAACTATTCGTCTGCCCCACCGTCCCCGTAAAGGATTCATGAACGGTAAAAAAAAACTCAAGGTAGCACGGGCTAATTTATCAACGATAAATACTTTTCTGACAATGTGACTACTTCAAAATGGACTTCAACAATGGCCATATACACTATTTTTCTATTATATGTCTATATGTAATATTCAATTGTTTATCAGTGTCTATGCAAATGGTTCATATGAGTAAATATGACATGGAAAAAATAAAATGTCACTGTACGAAATAAGGAGCATAGCAAAAATATATAATAATTTGGGCATCAAATATAGTACGCCTCATATTTTGTTAATTTTGAAAGTAACCTGTATGAAACCGGCCACTGTGTTTAAAGATTACAGGCCCGGTTGTTCAAAAGCCTGTTAAATTTTAACGGACCGTTAACTAGTCCTTAACGGTCCGTTAACGTTAACAGAGCAAAAGCCTGTTGCTCAAAGTGCCGTTAACCTTTAACGGCCCGTTAAGCCCACGTTAACTTAACGGAAGGGGAGGGGGTACATTAGCTCACTAACATTACCATTAGCATCAGTTCTAGGTCTAGCTCCATGGTGACAACATGGCGTTTATTGTCCAGCCGAATGCAGCATTCATGAACATTAGACCACAAAGAAAACTTAAGGAATTCAGGAATTTTTCTGCTGAGTTTAATGAAATGGAATTACACCAAAGATACCGATTTCGAAGAGATTCCATTGACTACATAATATCTTTGGTTCGTGATGATGTGGAGAGAGACACAAAAAGGAACCATGCTCTCACTGTAGAGATGCAGGTGCTAGTCACCTTGAGGTTCTTGGCCAGCGGTAGTTTCCTACAGGTTGTGGGAGACACGGTTGGCCTTGATAAGAGTACAGTTTCGAGGACTGTTGATAGAGTGTGCGATGCTCTTGTTCGAAAGCGGCATCAGTTTATCAAGTGGCCAAGCGTACAAGAGAAAGACAAGATAAAGAAGGGCTTTTTTTGAGATTGGAGGTTTCCCTAATGTCATCGGTTGCATTGATGGTACCCATGTCCGAATTCAGGCACCCACCCAAGATGAGCCTGCTTATGTCAACCGTAAGGGCTGGCACAGCATAAACGTGCAGGCTGTTTGTGACGATAAAGGTATGTAAACAACACCTTCACAGTTAAACTTACTTGCAATGTTTACTTGTTTCAAAGTGTGTCAAGTAAAGCCGATATATCACTTCAGTGTACATGATTGAAAACTGTCATCTGTTTAAAATGAAAACAGAATGTGAGAGTGAGCTCCCTTGGTATAGTCTGTATGATAAAAGTAGAGGTAATGCTTATACTCATTTATAGCATGACAAATATTTTTATAAGAATTGAGATTGGTTTTTCCAGAAATTCAGTAGGAATGAATTTACATTTTGCATGATTATTACTTCAAATCTATAAATTGAATTTAAGAAAAAAAATTATATATATATATGGGGTTTTTTTAACAGGAAATATAACCAACTTGTGTGCCAGCTGGCCAGGCTCCACCCATGACAGCCATATATTTAGGACATCAAATCTGAGACAACACTTAGAAGCCAACCACACCAGAATTTCAGATGGGTTTGTCCTTGGAGATAGTGGATATGCATGCCGGTAAATTTTCATATCTTACATGAAAAAACTTACAGTTTAAATCTAATTTGCTTGAAAGCCTAAATTCAAGTTTTTGGCTAATAATTATTGCTCAACGAGTCAAATGTAGCTTTCCATACATGTAAATTATGATATGGTATTTTTCTAGTGAAGTGAAATATTTTTTTTATTTCAAATTAGTCAGCATTTCCAATGAATGCCTCCTTGATACTGATGTTGTGTTTGCAGACCCTACTTACTCACTCCCTACCTTCACCCACAAGGGAACCCTCAACAGCGGTATAACGACAGACTGTGTAGGACCAGAGTCACCATAGAGAGGACCTTTGGCCGATTAAAACGAAGGTTTCATGTTCTGCATTCTGAGGTATTAAGATATAATAATAATGCACTTGTATAGCACCTAATTTCCAATCGGTGGCTGCTTAGTGGTGCTTCACAAGGTTAAAAATAAGAATAAAATAACAGAGTTATTGGTTGAAGAGAAATTGCATTTCCTCACAATTGATTTAAAGTAAGGGCAGATAGCAGTTTAAAGGAAATGTAATATTTTCAGTAAGATATGTAAAATATCATATTTCTATGATAAAGTTTTCAATACATAAATAATGTCTGATTGCTTATTTGATTTTTAAATAGCAAATAATGTGATATGCTTTTTAACTTTGTTTTAGATCCGTATGAACCCAGGAAAGGTGTGCAAAATTATATTGACCTGCGCAATATTGCACAACATAGCTATCTTTCGGAGTGAGGTTCTTGATGTCGATGATGCCCATGTGAGACAGGACCAGCCACCCATTGACCACTACAGAGGACGGAATGACGGCAAGGCTATCAGGGATCATATAGCAAGTACTTTCTTTGCTAACTAGGTAAGTAGAAGGTTTTTTATAAATATAATCTGTATTAAACACCATGTTTAGGTCAGTTCAAGATTACCTGTGTATTAATTTACAGGGATATGTTAAAAATTTTGTAATAAACAAGCACAACTGAAACATTACATATGTATGAAACAAATATATTATTTTTTATAATATCTATATTTACTGAATCTAATTCAAAAATAGCTTTGTCTTTAAGAAACAAAATCACAATGACATAAGACATGGTCAAAGTGAGATAATGGCAAAGGTGTGATGTAGGTGGATTGTCTCCCTTTGATTAAAACCAATAAAGAGACTCAGGAATTTTAACTTTTGATACTTGTTATAAAATTACACTGGCTAAGTTGATTCATAAATGAAAAAGAGTTCATTTTGAGCAAATGAATATTTTATTAAATGATATTGAGCACTATTATAATTTGATATGAGTGTTAATAGTTAATAGTAGTTTGTATATACAGATAGAGTAATATGGAAGAAAACAATTTAAGTAGATTTACCAGCTAATTCACTTAATCATTATCAACAAACTATTACATTAACAATGACATCATTAATTGTGACATTATTAATGCAGCATAGACATCAGAAGCTGTGTTGGATTAAGGTTAATGTCCAAATCATTCTGAGCCAACAGGCGATGAAGTAGTTCAATCTGTAGTTTCAACCTCTGCTTCTCTAATATCAGTTTTTCTTTTTTCAGACTCTGGTTCTCTCTCTCTCTCCTGCTAAGACCTGGTACTGCATATGGAGTACATCATCATTACTGTGCTTAGTCTTCCTGGATTTTCTCAGTCTGCCCTGGATCTTCTCTGTCTGCACTTCATCTTGCCTGCTTGATGGTGGAATTTTAGAACATTCAATTGGTGTATCCATGGGTGATGCTGGTAGTTTGACGCCAGATTCAGGATCAGTTGAAATAGTTTGCTGATTATTTGTAGAAAAAGATACTAATTCCATTGCTTCCATATCTTCAAGATTGACTGTTTCTGTAATTGACAAGTGTTACATTGCATCAGATTTAAATATACTAATATAGTGTAATGTGTCATACAACTCATTGTTTACAAATTAATACTTATAACGTTCAATTTAGTAACTGATTTTTTGAATCTGCAACATGATGTCTTGTTATTTTCATCATTAGTTTCTATATTTAGAATCAAGAATTTAAAAAGTAATTAAAAATTGTTAATCAGTTTCATATCATTATTATATTTTCTTTCATAAGAAATGAAGTTGTACAGAATAAATACATTATCTGTTATAGATTTGTATATTTAATGCTAATATAATGTCTTCATTCACAAC